CTGGTGCTGGTGCTGGTGCTGGTGGAGGAGGTAGATATATCGCTGGCACTGCAGTGGATCTCACTTTATGTGCCCATCACCGTGAAATATGGATGTTTGAATTTCTAATAAAGCTTTTTACACAGTTCTGTGCTGCATAAATAAATTTGTGTCCAAAACTTCACTGCTCGGAAAAGTATAGGATAAAGTAACTGACAAATTGTAAATCGAAGTAATAAACATTTCGGTAGGTAGATATTGAAAATAGTTTTATTTGAATAGGAGCAAATTTGTTTTCGGAATAACTTTAATACAATTAGTATTTTTTTGAATTCATATTTGTTTAAATTTTGTTTGCAATCAAATAATGTGTATGAAATATTAATTTTATATATATATATATATATATATATATATATATACCATACTAATATTATAAATGTGAAAGTTTGTGTGTTTTTTTGGTAGTTAGTGAGTTTGTTTGTTTGAAGTTCAATCACGCACTATCTACTCGACGGATTGGGCTGAAATTTGGCATGATGATAGCTCACATTCCTGATGTACATCGGCCTATTCTCATTTCAAAAATCCTTTCGGGCTCAACCTCAGTGGCTCTGTAGTTCCCCATATGAGTATTCACATTTAAAAGGAACTAGTTGTACCCGCGGGCTTTGCCCCGCTTAACTTCATAAGTATTCGCATGGCTCAATCACGTCCTGGTTGAAGTTCGTTCGCTACGCTCACTCACCTTCAGGTTGGAAATCGTTCGCTGCGCTCACTTGTTTTCAGGTTAGCTCGTTCGCTACGCTTACTCGTCCCAGGTTGATGTTCGTTTGCTACGCTCACTCACCTTTTGGTTGCAAATTAGCTGTTGTCATAAATTTAAAATACCCCCGCCGCAGCAAACCTGCCGACTAAGCGAATTTCCATTTGTCTGAATTGATTTTCAGTTAAATATATTTTAATAACATTAGGTTTAACGAGTACCTAGGTTTGCTGCTACAAGGAAACTAATAAAGTGTGTTTTTGAGTAAAATATTGATAGCTTAGTACAAAATAAATAAATTTGCCAAGTTTGATGAAAATATATCCATAAATAAACAAGCAAACTACAACATTTGACAATATTCTCCATAAGAATAACATGGGAATTTTAAATTTACAATTTTTTTAATTTTCTCCGTTACTAATAAAAAAAAATACTTTTATATACTAAATTATTTGTTTTTTTAAGCTCTTTAAAAAGGTCTAAAGAGAAATCAGGAAATTTTGTGTTTTGAGGGTCAAAAGTGAGAAAAACCAATTTTTACCCCATAAAACCCCCCGTAAAGCCCCGTTTCCATGGTCCGATCGTGCTGGTTCCTGAACTCATTCAAGTTTATCCCGCTTTACACCTTTAAACCAAGTTTCATCAAAATCGGACAAAAATTACTCAAGTTATCGCGTTCACGGACGTATATATATATATATATATATATATATATATATATAAGTCTATATATATATAAATATATATATAAGTCTATATATATATATATATATACATATATAAAAATTTGAACGATTGGTGTTTTTGGCCTCTGGGGACATCAAAATGAAAAAGTAAATCGGTCCCGGGTCTAGGTCTTACCGTGCCACCTACGGTAATAGCTACTTCCCTATAGGGAAATTCGCTAAAAATGTCATCCCTTTTATTGTTTATAATACTTTGATAAAGGTTTTTATGTTTTAATATTTAACATTGGAGAATTTAAACGTTGTTTAGTGCACAGGTGTGCTGCGATTGGGGTTTAATACATTTGGACTTATTAAAAAGTAAAATAGTTTTCTGTGCTGCACTCTGTAGAAACACTGTGGCACTATTTCAAATCATGACTAATGCTAATATAGAATGTTGTGATTATTCAAACCTACAAAACAGTTGGTGAAAGTAAACATCTCCTTTTAAATTATATTTATTTGTAAACATTGTAGATCAAAAAGTCTGACATTGGCCCACTTAAAACCCTCTAGGGCAGAGCCCTTTTGACGGATCTGCACCAAACTTCACTCGAACCATCTTTGAAAGATGCTTAACAAAGCCTGAAAGTTTCATTACAATCTGTCTAGTGGTTTCGGAGTCCATAACGTATATACACACACACACACACACACACACACACACATACATACATAGTTCCTCTTTTAGCGAATTTCCCATATAGGGAATAAGCTATTACCGTAGTACTCATGGTAAGACCTGGACCCGAGACCAATCTAATTTTTCATTTTGAGGTCCCTAGAGGCCAAAAACACCATCCGTTCAAATTCATATATATATATTTATATATATATATATATATATGTGTCCGTTAGCGCGATAACTCGAGCAAAAATGATCCGATTTTGATGAAATTTGGTACAAACGTGTAAACCTACGTTTATTCGAACGAGTTCGCGAACCAGCATAATCGGACCATGGGATCAGGGGTTTATGAGGGGTTTTATGGGGTAAAAATGGGTTTTTCTCACTTTTGACCCTAAAAAATTTAAATTTCTCAATTTCTCTCTAGACCATTTTGAAGAGCTTAAAAAACAAATAATTTAGTTTATTGAAGTTTTTTTTGAATGTTCATTGACTACGGAGAAAATTTAAAAAATTGTAAATTTAAAATTCCCATGTTATGGAGAATAAATAAACTGTTCTAGTTTGCTTGTTTATGGATATATTTTAATCAAATTTGGCAATATGGTTTATTTCATACTAAGCTATCAATATTTCAATTGAAAAAACACACCTCAACATCTTCCCAGTAGCAGCAAACCTAACTACTCACTAAAATTAATGTTATTTAAATAGGAAATAAATCTGAAAATTTATAGGGAATATTTTAGTAGAAATCAAGCCGGGTAAATGGAAATTCGCTTAGTATGCAGGTTTGCTGCGACGGGGGTATTATAGATATAGATTAAATAATTTAGTCAGCTAATTGTCTAATTTCAATTAGGAATTGAATTTAGTCAGCTGCTGTTTCAACTAAACAAGTTGGTTCTATGATATGCAAGAGTATTGAAAAGTTGTTAGGTTTACCAACAGGGTGCAGCACTATTATTTTTTGCATTTATTACAATAGCTAATTTGTACTAAGCAGCAACAAAAAGCTGTGATACGCAATGAGAACTGTCAAAGTAGGATTGTTTACAGTTATGTTTAGGCCTATATAGTTTGTGATATTGTGCGAATATTTTATAATCCCCCCCCCATTGGTTAGGTGCAGTGGTAGAATTTTCCTTCCACCATGGTTATGGCTATGGTAGATGTGTTACACTATAGCATACCGTAAATTTAGAGAACTAAATTTTATCAAACTGTGTCCTCCTACATTGCAAACGCAAAGCTTGAGTATAAATACAATAAGCATTTTATGCTTATATGCCAACCCCGTACGAAGGACGGGTACTAATATATATATATATATATATATATAAATAAAGGTTAAACATTAATAAACTTAGTACCCAAGTTACTATGTATTAGTTACTTGGGTACTAAGTTTATTAATGTTTAACCTTTATTTATATATAGTAGCCTTATTTTTCATATATATATATATATATTTATTTATTTATATATATATATTTATTTATATATATATATTTATATATATAAAAAGATATAAATGCTAAACCTGTTTTGCTTTGGTTTAATATAGAAAAGGTAAATAATTTTGCATAGGTGACTGAACAATTATGTTTCCAAACGTTTTCCTAGTTTGTTAGTTGTATTTACAGTGTGTTTCTTCGAAACAAATCTGTTAAAAAGTATGCACAATATGTCACAATATTCGAGCATAGAATTTTTGAAGTGCTAGTATGTAATTTTGTCAAAGCTGGGTGAAGAAGACCCTAATTGGTGACAACTAAATTGAGAGAAATTGTTTCACGTACATCAAAGATTAGGGGGAAGCTTTCTCACTGGATTTCCTGGTGGTAATTGGAAGATATAACGGTAATGGTCACCTCTGAAGAAACCGGTTGCCTAGGTCACGCAAAAAAGCAGAATATCCTCGGAGGCTATTTCATTCCAATTCAACTCTATTGGCAAAATCACTGCCGTGTACTGATTCAAAATAACCACCAGAGATGTAAAGACTTGGAAATTTGTGTGTGATCACACAGGTCAGACGTGAGGTATCAGATTGATGCCAATCATAAGACGTCCTTCTTTGCAGTCTCTGTTGGTACAAGAGATAAGTTGGTTGATTAATATTTAATAAGTTTCAAATGTTTTTTTATCAATAAAAACAAATTATAAAGTTGGCATCTTCATTTTACTTTTCCCTGTCTAAGTGAAAGAAAGAGTTTTTAAATCTGAGTGAAAATAAAATGTATCCGTTCGTTTTAAGTTTGAGGCATCCCTGTAAGCAAGGTTTACTGTACAGTACTCAGGGTAACACCTTTTTTGGTTAATAATTTGAAAAAAAAAATTGAATTTATAGATAGTTCTTATTACAACACTAAATACTGTAATTGCGAAAGTAAGTAGGCCTATAGACTTTTACTTTCCACACCGTTCTGAGAAAAATCCAAAATTTTACTGTTGAAATCTTCCACAATTCTACGTTAGTCTTTGACAAATGTCATGTGTAGACAACCTTTGTACATTATTGAACACATCAAAATATAATAACTTGCGTTAATTCAACATATTTTGTAGCAAATACATAACAATCATGACATGTTACAGAAGCAAACATGAAATAATTGTAGGTAAACAGTTCTCGGAACGACGGGAACCGTGAGACGAAAAGTAAATTATGCATGCACCTGTCTATGTTTCATGACGAAATAAATTACTACAAAACAACTTTCTGTTTCCGACGCGACATCTTCTGGGAATGTTTTCATTTTCTGCAGGGTTGCTGACCGCGGGGGTAGCGGAGCGGCGCAGCGCATGTACCGATGTATCAGACATGCGCGCGAAGGTCACGGACCTTATAAAGCTGCGCAAAGCCGCGCGCGCAGATAGTGTGTGTTCTGCGCCGCTGCCAGTGCCGCGCAGTGTGCTCAGTACCGGCTTTGGATTATGGACCTCCTCACCCCTCAGGTAGCCCACAACCTTATAAGCCTATGTAACATATGTGTGTTGTAGACACAAAGTCTGCGCGAACAATTTAAAGATGGACTCCATTAGGACTTTCTTAAAATAATGCATGTTTTGCTACCTGAAACAAGAAAATTAAATTGATTGAAAAATTATATTTTTAATCCTGTGCGTGCTTTGTATGGAACTTAGGATATTGCAATGAATTTTACAATTGCATAAATACAATTGTTTGAATGGAATTGAATTTATGACGAAAATATCGGTGGACAGTAAATTTATTTTAGCAAACGTAGAACATCTTTGAATGAGTTGATAAAATATACAATACCCACATTTTAAAATTAAATAATGCAAATTAAAAATAAAACCTCAAGGTATGTACCATGCACATACCTTGAGGTTTTATTTTTAATTTTATTTTTTTAATTTTTACACACTTTTTATAAGATGTGGTATGGGTTTCAATGACACGAGAAAAATGCGTGCTTCGAACTTTTACAAAGCCCTTGTAACAATCGGTTTTGGAAGCAATTCTTGGTCTTTTCGAAACATTGCCTCATATAGCTCAAAAGTATGACGTGATCTTATTGAATAAATATAATACTCAATCTTGAGCAAGTGCTATATCCGTCTTACAAATATTTAATTTCCATAATTCACTCTCTATCTACCTAGCCAACCACAACAAATAAACTTATTTGTGCGCACGAGAAAACATGAATGGCTACTAAATCTAGATAAATAAAATAGAGTAGTAAATGTACCTCACTTAAGAAAGATTTGATAATCGATTTGAATAAGAGTTGTGTTTCATACACACTGTACATATCATGCTGCATTTGATGAAGTTGCTTAAACTTCTATGATAATTGATTAACGATTAAGGTTCTCAATTTATCAGTAACAGACTACAACATAACAATTAAAACAGTTTTAAATAATGTGTATTGGTTTTAGGGCGTATAGTTCCTCATAACATACAATAGGTAACGTTAAAGTTGATAAACCTAAGTTTTTGCAAAACTGAAAGGCAAAAATTTACTGATCTTAATTTAGTGACAAGTACAAGAAAAAAATAACACGAGGTATACACTTTAAAGTACAACGGATCAAGCAAATAAATTAACAAGAATTGTTAAAAAGTTACATTTTTTTACCTAAAAAGCTTCAGTGGTGAAAATTTACCTTGTAAATTCTAATCTCGATAATGATTTTACTCTGTCCCAAGTGTAATTCGTTTAAGGCAAGTTAAGATCTGAAGTTAATATCTGCTCGCTGTAATCCCATATAACGAGTTACTACAACGGGTTAATCCTGAATAATTAGAAGAGGATTACAAAGCAGCGTTGGACAAGAGCCTTTGCAGCTTTACCTTCTAGTGTTGTTTTGGGCCTAAAACTGGAAATGTTATGCGATAATGCATATACTCATGGTTAAGTCTAGGGGACACATATGTGTGGAGACTACTGATAATAGAATTATTTAGATCAAAGTGGCGTGGTGATAAATGTAATTGGTAGATATTGTGTTCAATACAAAACTATTTCCACAACTGGTGTAAGAATGCACTTAAGTTAACGCTAACCTTCTTATAATTCATAACATGGTCCGTTTACAGACACAGATTACTATATCCTGTTATTCTTTAGATTTTAGAACATAAACTAATTCTATTAGTTTGGGAAAATACGTTAATGAAAATATGATAATAGCAACCTTATGAATGTCACAAAGAATTCTTTAGCACCAGTCGACTCCAACATACAGTATTAGTTCAGCCAAAGTAGCGTCGGATTTTGAACTCAATAGGTTGCATGATGAAAGTAGTTAACTACCTTAATTCGTGGAAAGGTTTCCATTGGTAAAACTTTACATTTGTGGCGAGGGATCAAATAGTTTGAAGGTTTTCTCTGACTTCACAAATATCTCTTAACAGTAAATATATTAATTACCATGTTAATGGCCCCTGGATATCTCACTAATAATATTATGGTACTCACGGTAAAACATGTTGAGCTTTCACCTAAAATCAACAAAATTTGGATTACTTGACGAGGTAATCATACCATTATATTATCAGTAAATATATAATATATTGTTATAGAGCGAATAAAAAAATCTTAACATTTCATACAAAGTGTGCTATACACAAGTAAGATTTGTTTTTAAAAATGTCATACGCAAATACGATCCACTTCACAGTGGAGATTTTTAACCTATCTTTATGATGGTTATCGTAATCTTATAGGTTATTCTAGACGATTTATTCTTTAAGGTGTATCTGTTATTTATTTTACTCCTGGTATTTTCACAAGTTTTTTTATCTTTGTAAAATAATATTGCATGTTTAAATCGTTTCTACAGTGTTTCACTTAAATACATAGCCTTTTTTTCACTACTGTGACAACATCACTTGATAATGCAATATTAATAAATGCAGAAATTAACTACCTATGGTAATATTAAACCAATATTTTAGATCAACCTAACCAATTTATTTTTTATTTGTCTGTTCCCTAACTTAATATGGCACATACGGTGTAAAAATAACATATAATTTACTAAAAATAATTCAGTGTCCTAAGAATCTTAAAGGTATGAAGCAGGTCGAAAACTCAGGGTAACATGATTAATTAAACGCACCCTAAATTTTTTAAGGATAATTGTGTTAAATCATTTTTGCGTAAACACTGAAAGTAAATACTTTCAGGGGTTTCCACCAATTTATTATAATCTTGTAACTTTTTCAATGCAGACTATTTTAGTTGGCTTATTACGATTTCACCATTAAAACGCGTTTTCCCGTAACTAGCAATGTAAAATTATATAGTCAAAATTTAATAAAGCATTTTTTGTTTGTTACATAAACAGCAATATGGACTAATGACGTCCTTATTTTTACCAGGCCCTAACTAAAGCCCCTATTTTTAAATAAATTAATTATGTATTAACTTGTGAGATTTGTCAATTTGAGGAGGTCAGTAATGTAATCAGTTTAATCAGGAAAGCATAACAAGAAGCTACTGTTATGTTTATTATAATACTATGTAATGAAAATTAAAGACAAAAACACAATACTGAGCCAAGTAAACGTTTAAATACTGAAAACACATTAAAACCATTTATGAATGACGGTAGCTGATGTTTAAAATTCAAACTTAGTCAATTATATTTGACAGGGAAAGAAGGGAAGGAGTTATTTTCAAGAGGGATGTAGCTGTTCTATTGTTTACTGAAGTCGCATTCTAAATTAACTTCCTGAATGACGTCCTTAATTCTTGTCACTGTTTTATTTCACTCTAAGTTATTTATCTACATTAGAGTAGTTACTCAATAATTTATCAAACAATAAGAGTGGAATTATTTATGGCTTTTACAGAAAAAACACATTTACAAAGCTACGAAACACTTAAATATGGCCTGTAAAATGTTTTTTTTAAAAACAAGAGCGATACTTAATAAACGTATTTATTTTATCAGATTGTTACGTCGAAGATCACATATACAGTACCGTTTTTGGCTAATCCATGACACTGCACATCGTTAACGATTTTGTGGAAGATCTCTCCGTTCAAATTTGTTGAATTCGCAATGAACTTATCGGTTTTGGTTAATTGGGTTTTATCGTTAAAATAATATTGTAAACATACATTTTAAAAATTTTCTAAACAATTTTGTATTACAAACCATAAACTGAAATCACTGAAAAAAAAACAACTCTGTAATGTAAACGTATGCAATTAGACAACAATAATATACACTTTTAACTTTCTTAAGTAAGCACTACTCACACATAATGTTCCCCCCTTTTAGTCATTAAAACCTGTTGTTCGACTTTTACACTCACCAATGACAGCAGATAAAAACATTATACAACAAATCATATAAATTTCAAAATGGCTTGTGACGATTTTTCACTAAAGAAATAGAGACTATATATGTTTTTTCATTGGGATTTAACTCATGGTAATGGTTTATGTCAATTAACAGTCCTAGATATAATTAGGTACTCGGAATGCCTCAGTACTTCGGGGGCTAAGTTTTGGTGGGAGAGGGCTAAGCAAAATATCAGTATTTGATGGGATCTATTTTCCCTATATTGAGTAGTCTTCAACATAATGTTTGCTCAATAGTTATTCTCTTTTTACAGTTTTTTTATTCATTAAAAATAATTTAATTTACTGTTCTGTGGATTGCTTGTTAAAACACATGTGAAAAATCTTTTGTTTACTTTTTCCTTGTTATTTTGTTTGGCCAACATAGTTACTTGGCAACCCAAGGTCAATGTCAGTTTTTTTAAATTTTCAAATGAGTTGTGTAGTGAAATACGAAATATTCTGTCATAATACCTATGAACTGTCACATATCAATAAAGCAAGGTAGCTGTTAGCTGTCTTATCTTTGTGTCTGTGCTGCTCTTAAGCTGTAGAATCCTAGCCAGCTAATCGTCAAGTCATAATATCTATCACCTGTCATATATCGGTAAGGTGAGGTTACCTGTCTTATCTTAGTGCTTCTCTTTAGCTGTAGAATCCTGGTCAGCTAATCGTCAATACATAATACCTATCACATGTCTTATATTGGTAAGGTGAGGTAGCTGTTAGCTGTCTTATCTTAGTGCTGCTCTTTAGCTGCAGAATCCTGGCTAGCCAATCGTTAAGTCATAATAGCTATCACCTGTCATATATCGGTAAGGCAAGGTATTTGAGTTCTGCCCTTTAGCTGCAGAATTCTGGCCAGCCAATTCTCAAATCATAATATCTATGACCTGTCGTACATTGGTAAGGCAAGGTATCTGAGTGCTGCTCTTTAGCTGCAGAATCCTGGCCAGCCAATTCTCAAATCATAATATCTATGACCTGTCGTACATTGGTAAGGCAAGGTTTCTGAGTGCTGCCCTTTAGCTGCAGAATTCTGGCCAGCCAATTCTCAAATCATAATATCTATGACCTGTCGTACATTGGTAAGGCAAGGTATCTGAGTGCTGCTCTTTAGCTGCA